CTTTTGTTTTACATGAGGTTTGGCAGTTTTCTGAAATCGCTAGTTCTAATTGTATTAAATTACTTATTATTTTTAAATACAAGAAATAAATGGGTGCCAGCAAAGAAAAACCTCAAACTGAAAATAATAAAATATTCCAGTTCGATTGCTGGCAAGGAAAAACCTCAAACTAGAAATAATAAAATATTTCAGCTCGATTGTTGGCAAGGAAAAACCTTGAACCATATTTCGGTTCGATTGCTAGCAAGAAAAAACCTCAAACCGGAAATAAAAACCAGCTTGATTTCTGGCGACTAATTATTAGCCAATCAAAAAATAATTGATCGTCAGCCAATAAAAATAATTAAAAAACCAAATGATCATCAGCCAATCAAATCGATTTTTAACTATGCTGGTCAGTTGATGATCACTATTTATACCCCGTGATTAGGAGTGCATCATGGTGCACGGTGCACCAAAATATAAAATCCTAATAATTATATATAAAAATATACTTTGAACAATTTTTAATTAAAAAATAAAAAAGGTATCTTAGTAAAAAAAAGTTTCTATATACTAATATTAAATTTTTTAGTTTTTTCATATAAAACTTTTTTGTATTTAAATAACCTGTTCTGATCTTTTAAGTAAATTTGTTCAACATATAATTTTATATACTTTATATTTTGCTTATTTTGTTTTTTCAAACTTTTTACTAAATAAAAAATTGGATCAAAAGTTACACAAAAAATTTTTTTAAAAAATTTTTAAAAAAATTTTTGTATAACTTTTGATTCAATCTTTAACTTAGTAAAAAGTTTGAAAGAACAAAATTGACAAGACACAAAATATATAGAATTATATGCTAAACAAATTTGTTTAAAGAATTAGAACAGATTATCTAAGTAAAAAAAAGTTTTATATAAAAAAACTAAAAATTTTAATATTAATACATAAAAAAATTTTTTTACTAAGATAACCTTTTTTACTCTCTGATTAAAAATTGTTTAAAGTATAATCTTATATATAATTATTACTTTAAAACTGTTAAATTTTTTCTTTTGACAAAGTTATATTTTCAAATTATATCAAAATTGCAAAATTTTAGTTTGGCTTAAAATACATTTTATTCTTATCTTTTTGATGTATTTATTCATAAAATTTAATTTAAAGTTAATATGTAAGAGAAAAAGCCATTAGGTTTTAAAGTTTATATAAATTAAACTAATTACAATTAGCAATTTCTTGTACAATCGTCTCTCTATATAGTCACCTTCCATATAATCACATAATATGTAATCACATTTACGTTTAGACCAATCTATGATTTAATTTATAAGAAAAAACCTCCATATAAGCACATTTTAAAAAAAATTTACTATGTGCTCAACTGTATGATTGTATGGAAGGACGACTGTATAATTTTTTTAAAAAATATATTACAATATTTTAAAAAATTATATACAAAATTAATTTTTATTTTAATAACAATACATATTTCATAACACTAAAAATATAAAGATTGTTGCCCAATCATTTATGTGATTAGCATATAGAACAAAATTCTGATTAAGGTGCAGATTATCTATAATCACGTAGGTGAACAGACAAACAAAATTGCTAATAACCTGAAAATACAAGTCTTTCGCTTCGCTTCGAACCATAAACAAGTCAGTTTAAACTACATGTTATAAAATTTTGAAAATGATTGATTAAGATATTAAAAAGTTTTATTAGTAGCATACTTTTATTTACTATGTAAAATTCCAATCTACTATATGAATCATATGACAAATGATCTACGTACACCCTACACCTAATCGATTCGATTCTAGAATTACTCCTCTTCATCAACATAATTTGCCATGGGATCCTCGTAACTATAAAATATTAACAAAAGTTAAAGGGCGGCCAGAATAAGATCTTTCTAAAAGAGAATAACGAGTAATTATACTTACGATTGTTTTTTCAATCGATATGCTTCCAATTCCTCTTCAGTAATTTCAGAATCGATTTTATCGTGACCACCCATATAAGCACTGTTGTAAGGTCGTTTTCTATCGTCGAGATTAAAATCGGATTTCTTTATTTTGTTTCGTCTCTCTTCTTCTTCCAACGCCTTTTTAAGTTTTTTAGTGTCCAATTGAATATCACCTTCACCAAGATTCTTACGTTTTAGATGCTTATTCGTGTCATCAACGTTTTTAGATTTAGATTTTTTCATATTTTCTACATGAATTTCAACGAGGGATTTTTTATTTGCAAACTCTTCTTCATTTTGAATCTCTGAAGCAGTCAAGAGATTAGAAGCATTTGCTGCTTCGATACCAGCCAGACCCGTACAATATGAATTTTTAATAAAAGAGCGACAACATTTATATCCCCAATAACCGTCAGCCCAATATGATCCCCATACAGAAGTATGATTATTATTGAAGACTGAAAAAAAATATTTTTTTTAAAATATTAGAAATAAATTATAAGAAATAAAAATTATAAATATATTTATTTTAAAATATTAGAAATAAATTATAAATATATATATTTTAAAATATTAGAAATAAATTATAAATATATATATTTTAAAATATTAGAAATAAAATTATAAATATATATATTTTTAAAATATTAGAAATAAATTATAAATATAAAAGTTAAATACATACCATCTTCTTCGTATTTTGACTTGGCTTTGGCACGTTCTTGGCCTTTTATTATTCTTCCAGTTCTTGAATATTCAACATATTGCTCAGTTTGAGCCAATAACAATTCTTTTGGTGGAGCATTCAAATGATCTTCACCACCATATTTAGCCAAAATCGAATCTTTGCTAGTGTCTTTAAGTTTTTCTTTTTTTTGAAGATATTCGCGATGTAATAGTTCACCTTGAGTAGGATTTGCTTGTAAGTGAACATCAGTACCTTTCTCATAAGCTTGCCAAGCAAAGAGTTGAAGGTTAGCCATTTTTGGAGCATCACCAGTATAACGTACAAAGTTATCACCAGCGTAAAAAGTATCATCAGCACCAATATCTTTATTTGGATTATCACGCATAGAACGAGTTTTAGGATCATAATAAGCAGAATTTATATCTAAATTTCTCAAGTATTTTGCAGTATCTTCACGAATTCTTAAATTTCTGATAGTAGTTCTTGTTTTTGTATTAACTTTTTGACCAGGCATATCAGATTTTTCAGCATATTTATCATCATCATCTTCCTCTTCATCGCTTGAAAATTCAGCAGCAATTCTATCACCAGTTTTTTTAACAAGTTCAGTAGTACTTTGTTTATCAAGTTCATTAGCTTTCATTTTACGTCTTGCATCTTCAATTTTTTCATATTCTTCATAAATTTTCGAATGTTCGGAAGGGTCATAACCATTCCAACGATCTCTTTTAGCATCATAATCCAAATCAATTTCTTGAATTATTTCATCAGGTTTTATATCTTGACCAGTCCATTTAGCACCAGTTTTCCTTGGACGATCCATGCATTCTTTTGTTTTGTGAGTCATAGCACCACAATTTTCACAAGCACCTTTTCTGAATTTTGTTGCAGCCGGACCAGCACGAAGACCACGCGCATACCATTGATTATTATCTTTTTTTTCTTCTTCTTCAGTAGCAAGAATCCTCTGATGTTTTAAAGTTGGTCGACCAGTGTCTAGATACCATGGGGCTTTGGCGATGTATTGAGGGATATGAGGATTAATATCTTTTCCTTCTTCATCTTGTTCTGCAGGAGCAGTACCAGCTTTTCTTGCCGCCTCAAGATCTTTTTGACGGCGATAATCTTCACGACTTAATTTGTTAGTTGATGATGTAAAAGATAAAGACGACATTTTTTTTCAATGTATATAAATTTATAAGATATATATATATTATATCAGATGATTATATCACATGATTATATCATATGATTAAGACCATTACACGGCAAATTTCTGTTGGTCATGGAAAAGTATAAAAGGATTAACTGTTTTGCGTCTTTTGGTAATTTAAACAGAAAAATTACAACAATATGTTTGAATGGAGAATCGTAGGGGTTTTTTTTAAAAAAGATTTTTTGTTAAATTTTTATTAATTTTAATGCTTAAACTACTTTTAATTTTAGGATTTTGAGGGTCAAAAGCTTAGTGAACTCATATCTCAAATTACCATTGGGTTGTTTGCGGTGAGCTTTTACTTTATTTTTGTATTTTTGTATTTTTTTGTATTGCTTGCTTTGAGTGCTACAACTTACAATTTGACATATTAATATTCTAAAACGAAAAACAAAATAGTTAATTGGATTTGCTTATGGATTTCATTACCAAGATCTATCATCGACCATGAAAATATATTTAGGTGGAATTATTATTACTGCTTTCGTGAGTTATTCGTTGATTAAATATATATATCAATGCTGTTATATTTTTATATTAATCTTTAAAATTTTCTTTTCTCTCAAAGCTCACTTTACCACCTTGGCCATTTTATAACCTACACCCAGTTCAATGGCTTCCTGAAATTTCAAATAAAGAATCAGAAAAAGATGTAAAATAAAATTATTCTTAATTTTGATAATAATATTTTTATATAATAAATTATAGAACAACTTTAATACTCACGAGGAATGTAGCTTGCTATTTCTTTAACTATTGGTGCCTGATGTATTCATAAAATCGACGGAGAACTACTATTATTTTCATATAATGCTGTAATACCAAAAATTTCTGGCAATGTGTAAAAATCATATGAAGAAAAATGCCAATAATTCACCAACTACTAAATCAATATTAATAATTCTAACATTATCAGAACCGGAATCGATAATATTTGTTAGAAACAAAAAAAAACTTTTGTAAGCTATTTGCACTCCAACCTTATAGATAGAGATGGGCACTATTATGATTTATTATTGCCAATTATTTATAATCATTTTTTGCGTAATAATTAATAATAAATAAAAAATTGTGATATAAGTATAGCTGCAGACATTTAAAGAAATTTGGGCATAGCGTCAATACGTGTCATGCTATATGTTAATTGATATTCTAATGTTTGCGACTTTAGATATAAGCAAAAACTTAACCGGATCAGCAAATTATTGACGTTGAGTTTAAAATCTGCTTTCCAGATTATATTTGTAAAATGTAATAAGTAATAATTAATAATATGTATGTGTAAATATTGGGGTAAAAAAATAAGTCATTATTGCATTGTTACCTTGCCCATCTCTACTTATAGAAAATCTATATTAACCTCCGACAATTCCTACTATTAAATTTGCTATTTTTTATACTTTAACAGTGATTTACCTCTTTTAATCTAAGCCAACTCTAATTCTGAGATAAAAATTTTTATTACTTTGTTTTAATTTTACGCTTTATGAAAAAAATCACAAAGCTGATCCAATAAATCTTAACAATAAAGAAATATATGTGTGAATTTCACCTCCGGTGAACCCTGAAAAAATATAGTTTATTACTCTCAGATAGTTTTCATACAGCATATAATTAATTATATATACATTTATATTATTTTAATTAACAATAAATAAAAAGAAATTAGAGTCCCAATCCATTAACCGTTTATCCATATATCCGTTATCCAAGTATCCGATCTGAATTTATCCGGATATCCGTTTACTATTGATATCCGAATATCAATAGTAAACGGGTATCCGGATAAATTCAGATATGGATAAATAGATAACGGGTTTATCCTAAAAGAGCACTTTTTTTTTTGTAAACTAATTTTTTTTCTTTATATTATTATTATTATTAATTGTTATTTTAAGTTATTTTATATTTTTTTTTGCTTAGCGAAAATTGGTTATTGTTATTATATTGCTAATTTGAATGCTCATTTGTGGCATTAGATATGGTAATGTATGTTAACGGAGGAATGGACGATGTATTTTCAGGTATGCTTTCAGAAACATCAGAGGTCTCTGATTTTGTAGAATGAGGATTTTCAGGTATACATTCAGAAACATTAGAAGTCTCTGGTTTTGTAGAATGAGGATTTTCAGGTATACATTCAGAAACATTAGAAGTCTCTGGTTTTGTAGAATGAGGATTTTCAG